GGAGTTCGAGGAAACAATAGTTTGTTTCTCGTTCCACTACTGAAGTTGAGTATAATAGCATTGCTGATGTTATGTCTAAAGTGGTTTGGCTACGTGTTCTTCTTGAGGATATGGGTGTGAATGGTCAAGAGGTTCCTGTCGTTTGGAGTGATAATACGAGTGTGAATGCTTTGAGCGTCAATCATATTCTTCATGCTCATTCTAAACATATGGAACTTTGACGTTCATTTTATACGAGAAAAGGTTATTGCTGGTGTATTGTGTGCGAGCTATGTTCCTGATCATCATCAGCTTGTGGTGGTTTTACTAAGGCTCTCACCAAATCTTCGTTTCCTATTTTTCGACAGAAGCTTCATGTGCTTGGTCTCTTTGCTCTTAAAGATTGATTTTGTTAGGTGCTTTTGATAGCTGTCGTGGTTTGTTAGGCTGATAGGTGTTTAGCTCTTTGTGTAGCATTTCTATATATGTGTTGTTTTCTAATATGAATAATAGAGCTCTTTGAATAAACCGTGAATAACCCTAAAAATCTAACATGCAAATAGCGTATTCAAATCTAATATTATTGTTTAATGTAAGAAAGATCAACATGATAACAAATAATTAGTATATCTTGATCAGTTGTGACAATATCAAATTCAACTATGAGAACAAAGATAAACAAAAATTGACTGAAAACGTATCAAAAGATAGAAGAAAATGCGTCATAAAGATAGAGGGAAAACGTACCTTAAAAACAGAGTTATTTAAATGATACAAAGATTTGATATAAAAAAATAAAAGAAATAAATTAAGAAACACCAACAATAACGATCAAAACAAAAATTTGTATCACAACTTATCCACTTAGAATAAAAAGGGAGACAAACGACTTTAGGATTTTTTTTTTTTTTTGGAGTAAACCTAGAAGTTATTGGACACGAGATGCTTAAAACACACTATTTATATTCAGTTTTTTTGTCACATAAAGCATTTGTTCTTATGTTTACACGACTGAGACAAAAATACATAATGTTTTATATATTATATTTTTCATTTTATTTATATATATTATGTAATAATACGATATAACATAAATGATAATTAACTTGTATACATCTTTAAAGTCATTATTTAAGATGAAACTGAAATGTTTTTTTTTGTTTTCTCAATTTGTTAAAAATTCTTTGTACGTTTTAAAATTAACTTATTATTTTATTTAAACCATTAAGTGGTCTCAGTGGTAAAGGGGATGTTCTTCTTCCTAGAGATTCCAAGTTCAAGTAGTTGTGTCTACAAGGTGTGTGTACGTTATCAATTTGTTAAGAAAGTTCTGAACAGATATTACCTTGTAGTCACCCCTACTATTTAAAATTATTAATTATCGTTTATGCCACATTATATTATTATATAATACACTTAATGTTTACATGACATGTAAAAATTTCATAATGAATTTATTAACATGAGATATGATTAATATATACTGATAGTTTGAGGATAAAATTGAAGTGTTCAAAAGTTTGAAGACCAATTTAGAATAAGAATAATAGTTCAAGGAAAAAATTGAAATATTTAAAAGTTTGAGACCAATTTTAAATGAGGGTCATAATTTAAAGATAAAATTAGAATGTTAAAAAGTTTGAGAACTAATTTAGAAAGAAGATACTAATTTAGGAACATGAGGTGCAATTAACTAAAAAAATAAACCTTGATTGAACTAAAGAATTCTAAAATTATAATATTATTAAATAAAAGATAAAGTATATGAGTAGTCATTAAACTATGCTTAAATAATTTTTTGGTCACTTAAGTTTTAGAAGTTACAAAATAGTCATTAAAACTTATTAAATTGATATAAAATGGTCACTACACGTTATAAAATAAAGATAAATTTTGTTAAGTTTAAGGATCATTTTTTAATAGTTTGATAAGTTTAATAAATTTTTGATAATAATTTGATAAAATTTAATGATAATTCTATAACTATTTGATCAGTTTAATGAATATTTTGTAACTTGTAAAATTTGATCAGTTTAACGACTATCATATCTCAATCAATATGTTAACTTCCAGTTCAAACGACCATTAACTTTTTAATGAAAAAGAATGAATTTGGAACATAATGAATAGTTACGTGACCATTTTATAACTTTTAATCGTTGAGGGACTCAACAAAAAAACCCTCTATAGTTGAGGGACCATTTTATAACTTTTAATAGTTGGGAGACTCAAAAAATAGTATCCTATAGTCGAGGGATCATTTGTATACTTTACCCTAAAACAGATTGTGCATCCTTTGTAAACACGAAAAAAGTTTGGGGTTTTTTTTTTTTTTTTTTGAAGAAAAATAGTTGAATTCAAAGGAATTAGGAGCTTTTCTTTTGAGTGAACTCTCCAAAGCAATGGCAAACAATCCCTCGCAGCTTCTTCCATCAGGTATTCTTCTTTCAAAGGAATAGCTAGGTTCGAGTTGATGCCATTTTAGTTCCTCTAGAACCCTACTATGATCAAAATTGTTTTCATGATTTGCCACCCTTATCCTATGCTAAGGAAAGCTTTGTGCAAGCAAATAAAGTTATATAATAAGCAAAAATTAGTACACCTGAGGCATTGAGATTACTCCGAAGTGTATGGCTAGGTTTTCAAACTTTACTATGTCCGTTAGCTACGATTACACAGACCTTGCAGACATTGAATTTTACCATTTCTTTTGTTTTTCATATTCATGTGGAGGGAGAAAGACCTATAGGTAGTGAGATTTCTCCGAAGCGACAATCCTTCCCGTGATGCTTCGGAGATGGCCGTCACGACCATGCTTAGCCTCTGGACAAATTGGAACAGGTAGGCTAGTATATGTTCACTTCCAAGCAGGAAGGAAGGTGGATGACCAGTACAATTGTTTTATCTATCACAATTTCTTCATACTATCGTAAGATACTAGGTATTCAAAAAATACTCGACTCGGAATATCCGATCTACTGATCCGTCAATTCGATTAAAAAATTATCAAGTATTTAAAATGGAAATATCCAAATTTACGAGTTGGATATCCGAATCACGTGTTGTCAAATTCATTGTCTTCCATGTAATGAATATTATCGGTGTGCTTGTTAAGTTAAATTTTATAAAATATATATTTAAAAATTATTTGATTAAAAATTTAAAAATAATTTTTTTATAATTTTTGATAAAAAAAGTCAATAAGATTAATTTCAGGGGATAAAGGAAAAACACTTTCTTTGAAATTAATTTCATAAACATTTTTTTTTGGGTGTTATCTACAATCTCAACCAATAAAAATCATCTACCTCACTCTTTTTATCTTCATGTTAGTAATCCACTTATAATTAACTTCTATGTAACTCACACTTTTATATTTACATAAAAAAATTGAAGATTTATAGTCAAAAAGGGATTCTTTCTGTTTTCTTAACATAATTTTTCTTTCAATATTTTTATGCTGTATTCTTCTTTCTGTTTTACTTTTGTTTAGACTATGTCCTTTGTTTTCCTTTGTTTTCTTTATTTTTTTAATTTTAAATAAGAATTTATGTAATTGTGACACACTTTTTCTCTGTTCTTGTGGCATATTTTTTATGATTTTTGGTACGTTTTCCGCGTAACTATGCAGTCATGTTGGTGTTCACACAAAGACATTCACGACATTTATTTTCTGATTGGTTTGTCGATTGTTATGTATTGTTAGATCCCTCTTTGATAAAATGTTGTTTGCCAATATAATCAAAATTGTGTAGTAAACAGATTGCCTAATTGTTTGGTTCGCTTACCACTCCTTTATCACTTCGTAAAATGTCTCGTTCGACAAAGACAAGGAGTTTTATGAAAGTTACTGGCTTATTTTGATATTGGATGTCATTTTAAATGGAAGGTTTCATTTTTCTTCGTGTCTTTGCGTTTAATATTGTTAGTGTGCTATAATTTTGATTGCTTCCATTATTTTTATTAATGAAATATAGTTGCCATTATTAAAAAATAAATAAAGATTTATTGTTGGAAAAAAATTTCATGGAGGAAAAAAAGTGAAAGTGAAGTGGATGAATTCTATTTGTTGCAATTTCATAGACGGTTAATCGTACCATTTAGCCTGAACGGTCGGTTATTCGTTATAACAGTTACAAGATTTTTCTAACCGTAATTTAACCATTAAGAAATGGTTAACCATTATTAACGGTTCGGTTACATGTTAACCTACGGTTAACTTATTATAATTAATTTTCAAAAATAACACAATATAAACGCTTTAAAGTTTCATAATTCATACTACAAAAAAGTGTATCACTTAGTACATACTTATATTGGTGTAAGTATGTATATCTCTCAATATCTTGACACCTAACAATAAACACATAATTATATTAGTGTAAGTATGTTTATGTATTTTCAAATAAATAAATAATTAAAAATAATATATATATATATATATATAATTATTTATGTAAAAAAATATAAAAACTTTAAGAATATGACTAAAATTTACTTCTATTATTATTTTTCCTAATACATATATAATTATAAATTTAATTTATTAACAATTAACCGTTTATCAAAATTCATAACTGTAATCTTAATTGTTAACCATTATTTTTAACAATTTGATTAATCAAAACTATTTAACATTAATGTTTCAGTTAATTAAATGGAAGGATTACACCAACTAACAATTATAGATTCTTTTGAACACCCGTATCGAATAATATCACGTGTTTAGGACGTAACGTCGTAGTGACAAGTATCAAACTAGTTCATGGAATGAGAGTATAAGTATTAAATTGTGAAAAAAGAATATTTAGATACCAAATTAAGAGAAAGTGCCATATAAAAGGGTCTATAGATAATTATGTCAAAAGTGAAATTGATGGAGGACATTACATAAGGACCGGAACTTTCCCAATTACCGGTCCGATCCGACGACAGAATTTAAAAAACAAAGAGAAAGCGAGAGAAAAAAGAACAGCCAAATTCCCAAGGTTTAAAAATTGGGAGGGAAGAGAACAGATGCAATGGCTAATAGTACAAGTAACAGTAGGAATCTCTCGAGCTTGGTTCACGAACTTCGTGAACGCATTGCTGCAACTTCTTCCACTCCTCCAAACAACATTGACAGTAACGCTGACGATGATGCTTTAGAGACCAGATTCCGTGCCGTTCTTCCCAATCTTCTCCACGCTTACGTTGTTCCCTCTTCTTCTGGTACTCTTTCTTTCCTTTCCAAAACCCATTTTCTCTTCTTTTTGGGGCCTTTCCGTCTGCATAAAATGTGGGCTTTACTTTTCTTCTTGAGAAATGAAAGAAAAAAATATTTTATTTCCTTTTGCTTTTTTATGTTCGCTTGCATAAGAGTTTAGTTTCTCTCTCACTTTTAATGGGTTTTCATGAAATTGGCGACTTCAGTTATGAATGGTTTTATTTTTGTTGCTGTTACATATGTTGCAGCCAACGAACGAGAAGTCATAGCTGTGTTGAAGCTCATTTCTCACACAGCAGGGAATTTTCCTGGGGTTTTTTTATCATGGCAAAGCCAGTGCTGTGCTGCCCGTGATTGGTCGGATATTGCCATTTTTTAATGAACCTGCATTTAGGTTGACGATTCTATTAAATTCAATTGTTCGATGCATTTTTTAGGACGTCTTTTCATCATGTATTGTTCTTTTAAAATTTTCAATTTCATTTTCATAGTTTTTCTTTATTTTATATCTTTTCCTGTATTTTCAAGGATTATCTACATATTTCAGTTCTCGACATGGAGTAATTTTTGAAACAGTTGGACCCCTTCTATCAATGCTTCGTACTGGATCTCGAGATGCATATAGAATGCTTTTCATTGATGCCATGTGTGCCATTGAAGGTAAAAGGAGCTGTAAGGATTTTGATTTATATTATGTGGTGACTGCTTTCTTATGTAATTGACTAGTTCTATTTTATGATCTGCATTTGTTCTAATACATGGCTACTACGTTATTTGGCAGCCTGACTACAATATATGGTGTATCTAAAAAGTTAAAAGAAATCTAATTCAGGTTTGTATTCATCCAGATATTTTGTATATATCATCCTTCTCTTCGGAAAACTCAAGAATTACAGAAGCCACAAGATTTACTTTAAAGTGTTTACTTCGGTCCTTTTCTCAAAATTTAAGTGACTCAACATGTCTCTGTGTTCTACCAACAAGCAATAAACCCCTTGATGGCCCTGGCATTTTGATTAACCTCTTGGGAAGAAACTGGTGGCAACCTTTTGCAACTTGGATCATAAAGTTTCTTAGCAAATGCTTAACTGAAGGAACCCTATATGTGGAAGGTCTCATGAATACATCATTTGTTTCTGCCGCATGCTCTCTTTTATGCTATGGAGATGCTGATTTGCAAATGGTAGGTTACATGTATGTTTGACTACGAGCTTCTTGAATGCAGTTTTTACATCTTCGTTTAGTTAGTTAGTTTGCTAATGTGGTTTCTAGTATCCACTTGTTACTGTGGCTGACAATTTAAATTTTTTGGAAGGCATGTTTTGACTTTGCACGTGTCATTGGATCAGTGATGAGTTATGACAATGTTCCACATGAGAATTTAATCCGCTCAATATCCACCATATTAGGTGAGGACAAAGAGGGACTCCCTGTATTCAGGTTTGCATTCTGATTTCTGATACTTTTTTTGTTGTTGAAAATTATAATTGAAGAATAAAAAGTTCCTAAGAAGCCAGAACCCAAATGTGTAGGAACCATGTGAAATAATTATAAAATTCTGACACAGATTGACTTCTAATTCTTGGGACTATAACCTTATCCTGTATCGTATTAATTAAGCTTGTGAGTTTGATGAGTAACATATATTGTCTCCGTTAGTTACTAACTTCGAATGACAAACTTCCGACTAAGATGGTTTCTTTGTGGTCTATTTTATTAGTTCCAAGCATCCTGTTCAGAGTTGAGTGCATATTGTTAATTAATGAGAATCAAATATTGTACTTTATCTGAAAGATTATACAAGCTAAATGGTCAACTCACATGGGCACCCCATGAACATGTAGATTTTGGTGTTATAATTGTACGGAGAATTCTGACCTTTGCCTCTTGTTTGATAAATGATGGTCACCTTTTTGAAGGCTTAGATTGTGTAGAGGGTTATAACTAGAGCTCTAGCAATAAGTAGTTACATGTATGCTTGAATCTGATTATTTATTCTTCATGTAAAATCTTATGCTAGTGACATTTGGTGCTGATAGATTTTGTATAGCTGTAATTCTTAGTGTTCTACTGTGTTTCCTTTTCAGGAACACATCATATGATACCTGCTTAGGTGGTTGCCTTAGGGCAGTGCACTCTAGTTGTCCTGATGATGTTGTCAAGCTAACTGCTGAAAATTTAGTTAATGTTTTCCATCGCTCAATGCGGAGAACCAAAAGCATGGAGCTTAAGGTAAATTAAGTTTCAGGAATACAATTATTATTTATAGTCAAACAACATATAAATATACATATATACATATATCTACCTACCTACCTACCACTGTCTTCTGAGTACTCATAGATCTATATACATTTCCAGGTTGCATTGTGCACTGCATATATACGTATTTCAAGAACTTGTGATGTGATCACGCCCGCTCTAGATCCGGAAGTCATGCCACAAGGTCCCATTACTAGGTCAAGGGCCAAACAATTCAGGGAAGTACTCATAACTAAGTATCTTGAAGCTTTTGATTCATTTGATAACTTAACACCCTCTTATGTTAAGTTATATAATGTTTTAATAGTTAAAGAATAACTTAGTATGAATACACCTTCACAATAGATGCACATTGTTATTTTAATATGTTAAGCATGCTAGAATTATCTTACAATCATATTTTGCATGATTATCACATATACATCAAGGCAACATACTTATTGTCAACACACATTTTCGTCCTACTAGGATTCAAACTCTTAAAAATAGGATAAAATTTTGCTAGGATTCAAACTCCTAAAAATAGGATAGAGTTCTACTATGATTTAAACTCCTAAAGATAGGATCTACAAGCACTATAAATAGCCATTATAACTCACTATTGTAACATACGATTTACACACAAAACACAGAGGAAAGCACGGAAAATACAAAGGCAAAGCTATTGTAAACGATTCAAAAAGGAAATAAAAGGTAGCATCTTTTTTACATTGGTTCGTTCATTTCTCGCATTTGCACGTTATTTTTCTTGATATTTGGTTCGAATAACCCAAAACGTGGGTTGCGCATATAACAAAAAAAGGGTGGGGTTTCGAAGTTTCAAACCTAGATCTACCCCTGAGGCGTGTTCATTTTTTTTAAATATTTAATTCACCCCCCTAAATCATTTTTTTCCTACTTTATTATTCTTGTTATATATGCATGTTACTTTCTATTAATTTTATTATATATGTATATATGTTTTTTTAGTGTTATTATATATATATATTTATATATTTCCTATTTTACATGTATAAATACGTATATTACTTTTGATTTTTTTTATTATTATTATTTTATTTATATATATATGCTTTTACTTTTTTATATATTTTACTCATTTATTTATCTATTTTCTTTTTATCTTTATCCTATATTTTATGTTTTTATGTTCTTTTACTTGTTTTATTTATTTATTTGCATTATCATTTTATTTTTATTTAGTTGTTTGCTATGTATATATTAGTGTTATTGTATTTTTTATTTTATATATTATATTCATTTTATATTTACTTTATTTCTTTCTTAATCTCCTTATTTTATTTGTTTTACTTTATTTATCATTTATTCATCTCTTCTAACTCATATTTTGACTTTTAAAGGGTATATTTGTAAATCCGTCAAAGGTAAGTAATTTTGGATCATTATTTTATCTTTTAATTTAAACTTATAATTTTCTTAATCAAAGACAACTGGAAATTACGTAGTACCGAAAGGGCAGTTCAAGGGTGCTAATCCTTCCTTGACTGTAACCGACTCCCGAACCTGACACATCTTTGGAAAGACGCAGATCAGGTAAGAAATAAGGTATCCGATCAACCTATTTATTCTTAAGTAAATGATCGGTGGCGACTCCAATTCACATTTTTTAAGTCGAAGCCCAATTCTGGGGCCCAACCGAAAGACGGTTGCGACAACTTGGCGACTCCACTGGGGATTCTCAAGTGAGTCAGGCTAAGGTAATTTTCAGTTGTCTTTTTAATGAAAAGGGTAAGTTTAAATTTTAAGGTAACATTTCGATCCTTATTGCTTATTTTTGATTATATTTTTTCAAGTAAATAGTTGTATTAACCGTTTTCTCAATGATTTCAGCCCTTAGAGTCTTTTTTCATCTAAGGTTCTAAATCCGAGCTCTGAATCCGTTTTAAGTGGGGGTGAAAGCGACGCATTCGTGTGAATTTATTCATCGCATATGCCTAGCAAGTAGCCTTCGGGATTCATATACCTTATGTCTTCGTGTGAATTTATTATCCGCATAGACATAAGAGAATGTGTCCTCTCGAGATTAACTTAGTTCACACAAGCCTGTGATGAATTTAGGACTAAGGGTCTGGCAAGCCCAATGGGACATCAGCAAGGAGAACTCGGGTACCGTTTTTTAGCACCTTAACCGGGAGACTTTGAAGAATTAGAGCCTACCCCAAAACCTCATTTCAAACCCTAGGATGCCAGAATTATTTCATGCTTTACTTTCTGTTCAAAGCATGCAAACTAGACAAATATGCGGTTAAGATTTGTTTGAAATTAGCATGCGGGATAGAGATCATGTCCGAGTAGGAATACTAAGCATGTTCGGGTAGATATTATGTGGGGTATGATTTTTCATTTTATTATTTTGATTTATCTCACTAATTTTTTTTTATTTTGTCCTCTTTTATTTTGTTTTTATCATTTGCATCATAACAAGAGGCTGTTAATCCTTAAAAAGGTGTTTGTAACACAAAATAATCTGAATTAATGGATAAAGGTGTTGTAATACAAGAGATTAAAAACTCCGAGGTACGACTGTGGTCCGAGAAGACTCAGAAGGAAAAAGGAGACAGTCTTCAAGGAAACTATGTGTCAGAACTGGTTAGCTACGCCTTTATTAGCCTAAAGCAGAACGATGTCCAAGAACTGCGAAACATTTGGGACAGTTGGGGGAATGACAGAAAGCATAAGTTCAACCAACGATATGGTGATATTGCCCTCTTACTCCATGTCAAGACTGATGAGCCCCTGCTCCGAGCATTAATTCAATTCTGAAACCCGAGATATAGTTGTTTCACCTTTAACCGGGAGGACATGGTGCCCACAATTGAAGAGTATACTACCCTACTACACTGCGAAAACATCAGACTAGAGAGGGCATATATCAAACACATCAAGAGTCAGCCTTTCAAGAACGGACTAGCTAAGATTGCAGGGGTTGATGAAAAATAGGTGACTGATCGACTTCGACACAAAGGTAACGGGGAAGGAATCGATTTGATCCATATAAAGCAACTAATGAAGAACTACCCTGATGAATGGAAGACTATAGATCTTGTACTGGGTCTGTACGGTTTGATTATCTTTCCGAAGAACTTGGGGTGCATCGACGCAACCGTAGTAGAACTATTTGAACAACTTCCAAGGCGATTCAACCCAGCGCCGACCATCTTAGTCGAGACCTTTCGGTCTCTTAATCATTGCAGAAGAACTGGTGGAGGAAGGTTCATTGGATGTGTTCAGCTCCTTCAAGTCTGGATTTTCAGCCACTTCTGGAAGACTAACGGGGTTGTCTACCGCCGATTCAGCACTACCTATTCACCATTGGGAGAGTTCATCACTATGAAATGGCATGAAGGCACTTCGAAAGAAGAATGGATGAAGGTCTTCACTCATCTTCAGGACCGGGATATTACTTGGAGAGCCTCCTGGTTGTTCCTCAGTGATGTTCTTTTCCGATTTGGGGATTCTGACACTATGACCTTACTTGAACTTTGGGGTGCAGTTGGGTATGCTCCGTTGTTGGCACTTAGATAGTATGAGGCACGTCAGTTTATCCCAACAACATACGGATTATCTATATTAGAGTTTGTGTATCACAGTGACAGTTATAAGAAGAAGATCAAAGAGACAGCCGAGTCATGGAAGAAAATATCCCGAATGGATGTCGTGGCTGCCAGAGATATGCTTACTCCGAATTATATGGAGTGGCGAAGATTGAGAAAGAATGATAGCATCCCGATGCCAGACTGTGAAGACACCCGGACCATGGAGGAACATCTCAGACCTGTCCCTTCTGAACCTGAGATATTCAAGGCAGAGTTTGAAGCTGTGAATAATGAGCTGAAACAGAGAGTTAAGGAATTTAAAGCTGAACGTTATCAATGGAAACTAGATGCCGATTCTTAGAAAGATAGAGCAGACAAACTGGAAAGCGAACAGAAAAAAGTCTGTTTTGAGCTTGAAGATTTGAGAAATGTGTATCAAGATAAAGTTAAGGATAACTCCAAGTTGAAAGTGGCTTCTGAATACTGGAAAGACGAAGCTTATAGCCTGAAAAGAAAGTTCGAAGGGCCTGATGAGAGAACTTAGAAGGAATAGATGAAGACTGCCCAGAGGCGCTTAGCAGACAGTCAGCATCAAAACCAATGCTTGAGAATCCAGATGGCTAATCTGGAGAAATAACATGAGAGAGATGACAAAACAATAGCTGAGTTAGAAGCTATTGTAGATGGGTTCAAGAAGAAAGTGAGCGAACTTCAAATAGTGCTCTTCGACGGAGGTTTACAGTGGCATTTCCGTTGGGAGCAAGTACAACAAAGGGTGAAGGCCAGAAACGCAGTCATCTGAGACTTTATGGATCAAGTACAAAAGACAGCTCGTCATCTACACGGCCTGGCAAGGGAAACTAGAATGGTTCGACAAGGCATACAACCAGTGACAGATGAAGACAGAAGATTTGTCAATCAACTAGAAGCTGTTCGGGGTCTAGAGAATTTAGTCCGAATGTACATTTGATCGTTTTTATGTCTCTTACAAGATAAAACATTTTTGTCTAAATAAAGATTATTTATAATAATGGACACTTTTCTGGATCAATGCCTCGAACATTTCATGCATTCTTGCATTTTTCATTTTTGCCTTTTTGCATCTTCATCTACATTTTCAAGCATTTTCAAAAATATGAAATTATGTCATGAAAGACTCGATGAAGTGGATTTAACCACATGGAAGCAAGATTGTAACATTAAAGAGCCTAATCAGTTGATGGTAGGATAAAGCCGGGCAACATGATCTAAGAAAGAATCCCTATATCTTAAGGACTACGATGTTGAAGCTGTTAAGTGTTATCACATAAGAAGCCCCAAACATTACTCTGAGAACTATAAGGCGCTGAAGCGCAAGATCCAAAACCTGATGGATTCAGGGGCATAAACGGCCGAAGAGGGGGGTATGACATATACCATTTG